AACAGGTTTGTCCTGGAGAGGGTGAAGCCAGAATGCTCTCCTGGAGTCAAGGATTCTGAAGCTTCATCTGACATACTTTGGGCATGTTGCAAGGAGGGACTAGCCCTTAGAGAGGGATATCATGTTTGGGAGAGTGGAGTAACGGTGCAGGAGAGGAAGACCCTTGATGAGATGGATCGATTGTGTGAGTGGAGTGGTGGGAATAAATGTGTTTGAGATAGCGAGATTGGCACAGGATAGAACGGCATTTATGGCTTTTGTACATAGGGTCGCTATGAGTCGCAAACGACTCGATGGCACATAACAACAACAACAATAAGATTAAAACAGTCTTGGAAGCGAGAATGGCATCCACTTCCAAAGTAGCTTTCAACTGGAAACCCTATGAACTTGGAGAAACAATGGAAGTTATACAAGTGTTCATCAGGTCTTTCATAGTGTCGCAATGAGTCATCTACAACTCGAAAGCACTTAACAAGAACAACATAGAGAGAACTCCATTGGCCTAGTGGACAGAAAGTGTTGCTACCAAGCCAAAGGTGGGCGATTTTAATCTGCAGCCCTAAGGCCTGGTTTTAATTGTTTTGGGGCAAATATTCCTCTAAGTGGTCTGTCCACTTGCTGTACAGAGGTAACTCATGGTTGCTGTGAAGCTGAATATGTTGACACTGATGTGTAAAATGTGATAATGGTCACCCATGATGGACAGTGTTTGGTGGAGCTCCCCAATTAAAACAAGCCTAGAAGCAGGAGTTGCATCTACTTCTGAAATAGCTTGCCTCCGGAAACTCTATGAACTTGGAGAAATGACCAAAGTTATACAAGTCTTCAGGTCTTTCGTTCACAGGGTCACTATGAGTTGTCTACAACTTGACGGCACTTAACAACAACAAAAACCATAGAGTCAGTTCTGAATCAAAGAGACCTTGTGTACAACAGAATGAAATCTGGCCCTATCCTATGCCACCTTCACAATCTCTGCTGTGCGTAAGTAAACCCACTGTTGTAATCCCTGTGTAAGTCTCTTCCGTTGAAGGGCTTCCTCATCGTCGCTGACACTGTACATTTCCAAGCATGATGTCCTCTAAGATGCCAGAGTGAGAAGATGTCTCGCCATTTTTGCAATTCTAGCTGCACTTCCTCCAAGGATTATTTGCTTGTTCTTTCCAGAAGTGGTGGTGGTTGTTGTTGGGTGCCATTAAGTTGAGTAGGCCTCACAGTGACCCTGTGAACAAGAGATCTGACCCCTGTCCTGTCCTGTGCCATCCCCACACTCTCTGATACACTTGAGCCCATTGTTGCAGTCACTGCATCAGAGCCTCGTGGACGCTCTTCCTCTCAGTCGCCAACTCTCCTTTCATTAAGTAGATCCTGCTGTCATTATTCTGCCCTGTGAATTTTTTTTTTGTCCTCTCCAATATAAAATAAGCCAGCAGTATGTCTTACAAGTTTTTTAAGCTACCTCAGGCTAGAATTCTCTTTAAAAACCACTGATGCATTTATTTCAAGATGACAATTGTAATTTTTTTTTCATATTTGTATTGGTTTGAACACATTCATACTCATTGTGTTTTTTCATGTACATTGTGTTTTATACACTCATTTGTTACTGTTGTTGATCTGCTGCCTGTTACTACCCCATCTTTTCTAATCCCAGTGAGTTTTTCCTGTTCTTTCACCCTCCATCCACCCACTAACCTCTGCTGTCCTGGTGACAACCTTTCCCCTTTGCCCATGGCCTTTCCTCTTTCTCTATGCCCTTTTTTACACTTACACATCTTCTTTAGTTATCCTTGACAATTATCATTCATTTTCACTTAGAGCTATGATATATATTGCATTTTAAAATTCCTTATACTTTTAGAATGGTCTAAGGATGACATCCTTAAAATATTATTTTAACCCAAAACGCTAGCACTGAGAAGATGAAATCATTAAGAATCTCATTATTTTATTCATTTTGACGATACATCTTACTGGTCTGTTTTATTTGTTTTTGTCTTTTGTATAAAATGTGAGGGGGTTTGTTTTCTTTATGAAATAAACTAAGGAGAACAAATTAAGATAGTAGCCAAAATCCTAGAGTCAGCAAACAGACAAACAAAAAAAGAAAACATGCAAATTTCTAGGCTAATCTCTATGCAAATTCAAGCTATCAGAGGTTTTAGTGTTCAGAATGGAGGCGGGGATGGAGGATGAGCCATGTTGATGCAGTTGTTAAGTACTTACCTACTTAGCCATTTAAAAAAAAAAGTCAGTGGTTCAAATTTACCAGAAGCTCCATAGGCAAAGGATGGAATATTTTGTTCTAGAAAAGATGTATGTGTCAGAAATGACTAAATGACAATGATTTTTTTTATGGAAATAAAAGTAACATATACATTGCTTCAGGTAATTTTGGCTCTGGTCATTTATTCTCCTCCACTTTATTATTAAATATTACCATCTGCCTCATTTATTTTCATCTACTTCAAGCTCCATTCTGGAAACTCAGTGATTAAATTGGGTAAGGACCAGCATAGTCTGTACGGAGTTATAATGCTTAACCCAAAGGCAGCGTTTCTCTCATGGTTCAAATCCTCTCAAATGGCTCCAAGGAAGAAAGACAGACAATTCCCCATGTGTTTTACAGCCTCCTGAAAACAACAATGAGACAGATGTGAGGAAGAGAGCTTTATTCTTTATAGCAAAAGCAGGAGCCACAGCTTCATACTGCTTTGCATCAGTTTCTGCATTTTCTTAGGTTCTGCTGGGTCAATGATTTAAAGCCTGTGTACACAATGAGTTGAGTTACAGAAGATGAGCTTGGGAGAGTTACTACTTTTATAGCAAAAAGCCATAACAGCAGCAACATATTATATTGAGTTTGTTGGGGTTTTTTTTAATTTTTTTATTTTATTTAAGCCTCTTGTTTAACATAAAAAAGACCTCTTGGAGGGCCTTTGTATTTAAAAGTTGGTAGTTATTATATTTTGGAGGAACATTCTTCTAAGTGGTGGAGTACTCTTCTGTCAGTGTGCTGTACTGAGGTAACCTGTGGTTGTTGCAGCTTGTGCCACTCGAGTGTCAAATGCCATAACAGTTACCCATGATAGACAGTGTTTGATGGAGCTCCCAGTTTAAGACAAGTTTGGAAGCAGGAGTGACATCCAATTCCTAAACATGCCTCTGGAAACTATGAACTTTGAGAAAGGATGATAGTTATAGAAAGGCTTTCAGGTCTTTTGTTCATAGGATCACTATGAGTTGTGCTTGACCTAGCGACAATCAACAATGACATAGATCATCCAAAGGCTGGAAGGCATTTTATAATCATGTTATTCCCAGTTGAAATGAATCCTTTAGTAGAAACTTTGTCTGGAAGGAATTTTCTGTATTTTTGGAATGCTAAACTTTTAAATCTCAATGAATTAGACAAGCAATACCTGCCCCAAAACAAAACTGAATTATAGGTTTATACATTAATGGAAATGATAGAAAAGCAGGTACATATTAATATATCACAACTATTTTCATATTTTTTCATTCTGCTCCTTTATTTATAATTCTTTAGAGTACCTTTATTGTCAATATTGCTTTTTAACTTCCAAGGGTCAATGAAAATAAAATTGACTGCTTTATACACAATTCCCAGAGGTGTTATAATTTATACACAATTCCCAGAGGTGTTATAATTTAAGTTTGAATAATTTTTATGTTGCTATTGCTATTTATTAAATTTTTTTAAGGGAAATCCTTTGCTCTGGTCCGTACTCTTAGTGACTTTACTAATGGCTTTAATAGCCTGCTGTTTTGTGTTTTGGGGATTATTTGCATTGGAGGGCACATTGTTGTTAGCCCTGTATTGACTGCAACTCATAGCATCCTTATGACCCACGGATAGGAACCTTGCCCTCTCCAGCACTGTCCACATGATGTCTGTCCTGCCCAAGCCCCTTGTTAGTCACTGTGTCAGTCCACCTCATTAAGAATCGTCCTCTCTCCTGCTGACCTTTCCCAGCATGACGTCTTTGAATTGTTTGATTCCTGTAAGAGAGAGAAGGCAATGGGATTGTAGTATTTCTTTTATAATGTTTAAAACTAAATTATAAAGGAAAACAGACTAGTAGGACATATTTTGGACTTTTTACTGCATATTAAGAGCGTGTGTGCATGTGTTGTAATGGTTAAGCATTTGACTACTAACATTTAATTCAACATCTGCTTCCATAAAGATTTCAGACTCAAAAAAAAAAAAGACTTCAGACTCACAAACCTCTGAAACTTATGGGGCAATTCTACCTTGTCCTCAAAGTTTTCTATCAGTAGGAACTGTTCTGTCACAACAGATTGGTTTTGTTTTAGATGAAATATGAGGAGGGAGAGGAAGAGGGCTTGAAACAGTAGGTCTTGATAACATCTCCTGTAACATTTAGTATGTTGTTGGGTTGTTGTGTACCATTGAGTCAGAACTGACCCATAGCTGACCTGCCAGCAGATTACCAAACCCATTATTTCTCTTTCAGCAAAAGAGTTGAAGAAATCGTTTTATTTTCCTTTCTATAATGTTAGCCAAAAAAGGAAGAGTAGTAGAAAAATGCTACTCTTTAGAGCAAAGACTCTGGTGGCATTGTTTTCACCACCAGTAGAATTCTGTTGATGGGGATAGTAAAGCTTTTACATTATCTATTTAGTATTAAAACCAACTCATTTATTAGACCTTGCTTCATTTCAAGCCACTGTAAAATGCACATGGAATAGGTCATTTTGGCTTTGATTGCCCTTAGCTATTTAATTTATATAAAATATTTCCTCCGTAATTTCCTTTAAGTAGATGTGTTTTCTCATTCTCAGCAGTTTTTCTCAAACAACAGGATGTTTTATGACCTTTATTAAATAGTAAAGAGTGTTTCTATTTCCATTTTTTACATGCATCTTTGTATATTTTCAAATTTTCTTATGTAAACAGAAGTTGAAAGGTGACATGATCTTGTCTTTGTTATTGTTGTATCTGTCTGTAGGATGAATATAAACCAGAAAAGGCTCTGTCTGAGGAAGATTTGAAAAATGCTGTCAGTGTCCACCACGCACTGGCATCCAAGGCCATAGACTATGAGAAGAAGCCCAATGTGCTCAAACTCAAAACAGCTGACTGGCGGGTCCTGCTTTTTCAAGCCCAGTAAGTGTTCTTTATTGTTTGTTCAGTTTGCATACCACCAGTGTATTCCAGGCAACCAAATCAAGGTTTACAGGGAAAAATAGGCCTAGATTCTTAAACATATATCTTAGGTTGTAATTTAACCTTTTTGGACCTCATCTCACCTGTGCTGCTAAGTTTAAAAGCAGGCTATTTATGAGCAACCTCAGGTCAACATACTCCCAAATGCTTACCCACTTATATATATCCGTACTCTCTATTAACAGTTCCATCTGTGCCTCAGTTCCTCAATTTCTCCATGTCTTGTGGGTTTGAAGATTTGCTAGAAGGTCCTCCAGAGACTTAGTCCCATGAGGGGAATGACTCATGTGATTGTAGGCATACAGGCAGGGATTTTTGTAGAAACTGGTGAGCAGTGGACCAGGCTGAATGCTGCAGAAAGCTTAAACACAGTTATGCTTTCATTTCTGTACTGGTGTTTCACACCCCCTCTAGTGTAAAGAGTACTCTTATATTGCTGTGTCAGCTGTTGATGATTAGCAAGACCATGCTGATTTGAAAGACCATGTGTCAGCAGTTAAGTTAGCTGGAGACCAAAGGGGCTAACTATAATTGCTTAAAAAAAAAAAAAGAAAATCTAATGTTTAGGCTAACCCCTCATTTTGTCTCTAGTTAGATATAATAATAATTATCTTGCAGAGTTCCTAAAAGGATTAAAGGATTAAATGATACAATGTTTTAGTACCTCACACAGTGTCTAATACATAGAAAGTATCTTCCTTCAGTAAATGTACATTTTTACCCTATTATCTTTTCCTATTCTTTGGGCACTCTGATTGTCCATGAAAAGGAAATAAAAAAAGAGAAAGCACACTGTGGACAAGGAAATGCCTTGAATTGTATGTCTATAAGATTGATAATAGAGAATTCCTATGGAGAGATGAGAAAGTATTTTCAGAAATGGATCTCTAGATGAGAAATAATAATTAGGAGGCATGCATAGCTTTCTTGTCTGTGACAAACACAGCCAATGATCCTGGCCTGGCTTTTCCACCTCAACACTGCACTGCCAAATTGTCTCAGTTGATGTTAGAATGAAAAATACTGAGTAACTATGTGTATTAACTTTGTAAGTAAACCATAAAATAAAATTTTTAATAACAAATTTGCTGTGTAAATTCTCACTCAAATCATCACAAAAACCCTTTTATTAAAAAATATTAAAATAAAAGAGCTCTGTGTTCCACTGGGGGGAAATTTTTAAAAATAATAAAAAATATTTGAAATAGAGGAACACAAGAATATGCATACTTTATGATCAGAGAACTGTAGAATCAAAGAGGAAAAAAAATCACTAGTGATTTGTAGTCTTTGAATTAGTAAAGGCATAAAAGCACTGACAATCAGGCAAGGAGTAAGTTGTAGAAAACAAGTGAAAGAGTATACTATGCATGTAGGAGTAGCACAGATTAGATACCACAGAGAGAGCTATGACCAGATGTATAGTGACAGTTGTTGAGCGCCCTCCTCCAAATTATTCTATTACTCTACCTTCCAAAAAAGAATCTAAAAGACTTGATCTAACATCTAAGGAAATCTCTTAAGTTAGAAATAATAAAATAAATTAGTCAATTGAAATAATGAAGCTAGAGAGACCACATTTGAGATTCATAACCAAAAATGTCAAGGTCCTTGCTGTAAGATCAGTTCTTACTCATAGTGAACCTGTAAGGACAGAGTAGAATGTCTTTGTGTTAGTTATCCAGTTCTGCGATCATACATTTATTCTATCATTTAGGAACACAAAGTCTAAACTCAAGGTCCCACCTCTAAAGGGACGCTTTCTCTGTCCCCTGGCTTAGGGCTTTCCCAGCTCAGGAACCTAGACACATTCCACTACTTGCTCTTCTTTCTTGGTAGTATGAAGGTCCCCCATCTCTGCTCACTTGTTTAATCTATTTACAGTTCAAAAGAGATTGACCCTGGAGGACATAATGCTAAGTGAAATCTCTCAGTCACTAAAGGACAAATATTGCATAGGGCCACTGTTGTAAAACGGGACTTACATCAGGGTTGAGGGAAGACAGAAAAGGAGGGGAGGAATGAGGTATATTGCATTGAAACAGATGAGGGAGAGAACTGTTTAAAAGGGATGCATGAATGGGCATTCTTATCATTACAGAAGTCCAGAGTGAAGGCTGCATGGTGGAATGGACTTGGGGAGAGGGATTGCATAACAATGAAAGAGTTTTTCTTTTTCTTTTCAAGGGGAAGAGTGAATTGAGGCAGGGAGGCTGGGAGGGAGAAAAATGCAACAATGAATGACTGGAAACCTTAAGTCTCTGTAAACTTTCATTAAAATTAATTTTTTTAAAAAGAGAGCTATTGAGTCAAAATAGAACCTAACCTAATGTTTACATTTTGCCTTTGTAACTACAACTAATTCTGCCTCATTAACATCATAGATAAAGGTATAGGATTTGCAACATACAGGTTAAGTACATACAAGCACTAATTGGAGTCTAACTCTATCATTCTAAGGATCGTGACCTAGCCACATGTACATATTTTAGGGAGACACAGTGAAATTCATCACATGTCCCACAGGATTTCCAAGACTGTAAATCTTTATGGAAGTTTCGAATGAAGCAGCTATTAGATTTGAGCCTCCAACTTTTCCATTAACAGCTGAACACTTAACCATTATACCACCAAGACCCCTTTACAGTGATATGTGGGAGTGAACAAATAAATACAAAGCACATATTCATGCTCATTTTTAAAAAGTTATCCAATAGAGTGTGAAAATTATCTTAAGACTATTTTACATAGAAGAAGAATCTTGCTAAAGAGAGGTCAGAGATGGTTGGAGCAATATATCAAGAAGGAACTGCAGAAATTCAAGCTGTAAGTGTCCATGGAAGAGTCAATTAAGAAGAGTTCATGGATCAGGTTATCTTCGCTGATGCTGGATGGATCTTTGCTTTCTGAAACTAAAGACTTGAAACTTACTGAAGAAGATCAAAGACAACAGACTTCAGAATAGATATCAAGAAAACAAAAATGCTCGCCACTAGACCAGTAACCTGCATTTTGGTAAATGGAAAAAAGATTGAAAGATAGACCTCAGCATAAAGAAACAAAAATTCTCATCATTGGACCATTAAGCATCAGCATGATAAACAGAAAGTATTTAAATTGCCAGTGTTTGTTTTTATTTTTCATCCACAAACCATGGGAAAAAAAGTAAGAAGTCAAATTGCACAGTGGAAATATGAGGGGGGGGAGGCCTCTTTAATGTGTTAAAACCAAAGATACCGTCTTGAGGACTAAGGCTTACCAGATTGAAGCTGTGGTCTTTTCATTCGCCTGCAGCTTGTTCAAGAACTGGACAGTGAACAAGGAATATCTATGAGAAATGGATGCCTTTGAATTATGATCTTGGCAAAGGATATGTCATAGATTACCAGAAGAACCAACAGATCTGTCTTGGAAGTGTACAGTCAGACTCTACGGAAAGAAGGATGTTATCAGAGATGAGCAGTCACTGATGAAGGACATGATACTCGGTTAAGTAGAGTCAGTTGCTGTAAAAATGGTATTAGGGTCACTGTGGATGAGAATCACCTTGACAGCATCCCACATCAGCATCAACATGGGTTCAGTTGATAAAGAGTGTGGTTTTCATCAGAATAATTGGAGAACGTAATTTATAAATTTGATGGCATTTTGCCATCTTTGCTTATTATTTTGTGTCGTTTTCTCCTGGCTCATGATCATTTCTCCCGTTAATTCATGAGTTCACAAGTAGTGTTTATTGCCCTCCGTGTTGAACTCTGTGGATACAATTACTTCAAAGTTAAAAGTGAGTTTACAACATCAGATGACTTCTACCACTTCTTTCAAGGTGTTGGGTTTTTGTGTTGTGTTTGGGGGTATTTGTTTTTTTAACAGCTTTATTGAGATACTATAGGCCCTGGCAGTACACTGGTTCAAGGCTGAAGTCTATCAGTTGTTCCTTGGGGAAAAGATGTTGCAGTCTGCTTCTGTAAAGATGGCAAGCTTAGAAACCTTGTGGGCAATCCTGCTCTGCCACAGGTCAGTGAGTTAGAATCAACTCAATGTCATTGGGGTTTTATTCTTGAGATATATTTTCCATACCAGGAGTTTGACTGGTCCTATGTGTATAATTCATTGACTTTTTAGCAGACTTAGAGTTGTGCGATTGCACCGCAGTCTGTTTTAGAATACTTCTCTGACTCCGAAAGGCCCTCTATGCCTCCTCACACTCACTCCTAATTGTTCGTGCAGCAAAACACAACCCTTTTGCCTTTTTGCATGATTTTAAATTTGCCTGTTTAGAATCTTAATTGGAATTTCACTGAGGATCAGTTGTATAAAAGAAAAATATTTTGTGTGCCGTTTTAAATTGGTAATGAGAAATTAGCAATATCTGTGTACCAGGATCAGAAATCCCAGATCAAAGACCACAGCCTTCAGTATGGATTGCATCTCAACATTAAAAAGACAAAAAATCCTCACCACTGCTCCAATAAGCATTATTATGATAGTTGCAGAAAAGGTTAAAATTGTCAGAAATTTCATCTCACTTGGATCCATAATCAACGTCCTTGGTACCAGCAGTCAGGAGACCAAGGAGATTTATACATTGGGTAAGTTCACTTTCAAGGACCTCTCGAAAATACTGAGGAGCACTGATGTCAGTTTGAAAACTAAGATGTGCTGGATTCAGGCTATGGGCTTTTCAATCACATGCTATGCATGTGAGAGCTGGACAGTGAATAAGGATGGCAGAAGAATTGATGCCTTTCAGCTGTGGTGTTGGAGAAACATCCCTGGACTTCCAAAAGAACAAACAGATATGTTGTGGAGAAAGTGCAGTCAGAATGTTCCTTAGAGGCAAAGGGGGCCAAGCTTCGTCTCACAGACTTTGCACTTGTTGTCAGGAGAGGTTATTCCTTGGAAAGGGATGCCATGGAAAGGGATGCTTGGAAAAAGTGGAGGGTCAGCAAATGCGAGGAAGATCCTCAACGAGATGGATTGATGCAGTGACAGCAGCAATGGGCCCATGTGTGTCAGAAATCATGAGGACGGCACAGGATAGGACACGGATCAGATCTGTTGTTCATAGGGTCACTGTGAGTCATACTCAGCTTGACAGCATCTAACAACAACATGTACGAGGATATAAAAATTACCTAACAGAAATATGTCTGTTTTTCTCAGGAGTCCAGAGGAAATGCAAGGGTGGATAAACAAAATCAACTGTGTTGCAGCTGTCTTTTCTGCACCACCATTTCCAGCAGCCATTGGTTCTCAGAAGAAGTTTAGCCGTCCACTTCTGCCTGCCACTACAACAAAATTGTCTCAGGTGAGTCATTCCACGAGTTCTTTGGAATTCTGGCAGGGAGAGGTGGTTTTGGGCAGAGAAAGACCCCACCCGAGATGAATGTGTTGTGTCATTGGAGTAAAATGGAGTCTGTGTTGGGTTTTAGATTTTGTGGAGGAAGCAGATGCTGTTGACTCATGGTTGATGGGACATATTCATTGAATTTCTTTTCTAAAAGTTTTATTAATTTGTTCAAACTCATTACCACCCCGTTTATGCTGACCCTCAAGGAGGTTTCTGAGGCTGTAAATTGCACGAGGGGAGAGTGCCTGTTTTTTCTGGTGAAGCAACTGTTGAATTTGGAACCAGATATATAAGGCCTTTGAGTTGTTAAATCTGGGTGATGCCCCCAAATTCCAACTCTTAATTTACTGGTTCGTCACATTTCTCTGGTTAGGTTTGCTTATTCTTTTTTTTTTTTTTTTTAGGTTTGCTTATTCTTGTTTTTAACATTAGCACTACTTTTTTAAGTGACTAGATAGCCAACCCTCCTGACTTCGTTGAAAGTTTTTATTCATTTATTCATTGTATTGAACACTTACCATGCTACAAGATGTATTTGGTGCTAGGAATATAACACTGTCCCCGGGGGCGGG